TTGACACTCGGCTATCACGTTACAGGAGATGTAGGCTGCTTAGCTGCGTTTCCTGTTCCAAACCAAGCATCACATGTCCCTGACCCTGGAGTTCCCAGAAAGAAACTCTGCAACCCTCGGTATGTCTGCAATTATCATCTAACTCCATTCTGCAAATGCTTATTATCCCTCCAAGTAGCCATGAACTCTGACAGCCTGATTGATGACTCAGGCCTGGGAATTATTTGCTTCATATGGGAAAGGAGCAAACACTATATTTTTTCTAGCTGTTGGTAAAAGCTGTAGGATCACGTTGAGTGGGTGACTATTAAAGGGATGATGTCACTTCCTTTCTGAAGTGTTGGTCACTCAGGCCTGGATCTTACGTATCTCTGGTGGGGTAGGAGGGAGAAAATAATTTTATTTACTCATTCTTCCATTTATTCTACTGGTAAATGTGCGTGGTCTAATTTAGAGAGCGCATACAACATGAATTACGGGACGGCTCCTGAACGGTGCTAAACCCAGTTGTCTCCAGCTGCAGCGCGTATAGAAATCACCCCCGTAATTCCCCTAATAGGGGCCCAGTTTAATGTCTGCACAACTTGACGCCATGCAGAACTGACAATCCCCTGTTAACGTACAGGATAGGAGCAGGGAGGCAGATGCATTTCCTGGGTCACACCCGCCTTGTCCCTCAGCCCGGAGGAGAGCGAAGCTGCATCCGCTGTGTCCCCGCAGTTAAGGGTTAATCCTTCCCGCCGCTAGGCCCTTAAAGGGGCAGTGACAGGCGCAGGAATGTTCGGGCACGTGGCTGTCACAGAGTGAGCTGGTCCCTGTGAGCGATAGGGCGGGAGCGAGCGGGCTGCGGGTGGGTGTTAATGACAGCGAGAGAGCGAGCGAGCCCGGAGGTGTGTGAGGGGCTCGCCTGGCTCCGTGACACCAGCGGCTGCTCAGTATTTGCTCCCCCCGACCCCAGCCCCGCTCTGGGTCTCGGGTTCCAGCAGACGCTGCGGAGGGTTTCAGAGACTCTCCCCGGTGTCCGCATCTCCGGCTGTTTTGCTTCGGTCCGAAGCACGATGATGACGTGGCTCTTGGCTGTTCTCCTGGCCCTGTCCCCAGGTGAGTACTGGGGTTGGGGGGATATAGGGCGAGTGCAGGAGACTCTTTGCTCGCTGGGCCCATTGGTTTATTAATTTATTCATGTTTCCAGGTGCCCGTTCCCAGGTGCAGCTGGCGGCGTCCGGCCCTTGGCTGGGGCAGGTTTCCGAGCCCCTCACACTCACCTGCGCGGTCTCGGGTGGCTCCGCCACTGATGATTACTGGGATTGGTACCGGCAGCTCCCCCGGGGAGGGCTGGACTGGCTGGGAGAGATTGACTGGTACAACTCGCAGTGGCGCGTAGACTACGCCCGGTCTCTCCAAGGCCGAATAACCCTCTCCGCCGATTCCTCCAAGAACCAGTTCTCTCTGCTGCTCCACTCGCTGACAGCTGCGGACACCGCCACCTATTACTGCGCCCGGAGAGACACGGTGACACAGAGACAGGGAGCCCTCGGACAGAAAGGGGGGAACCCCTATGCCCCGCCCCGGGGGGGCTGAACCCGCCTGGCTTGTCCCCTCTCTCAGCCCACCTCTGCGAGGGACAAGGTGGGGGAGGGCATCTCTTTTACCGGACCGACTTCTGTTCGCGAGCGAGACACCGAATACAAGAAATCCCCTCGCCCACCTTGGTTCTGCAATATCCCGGGCCCGACATGGACCCATCAACTCTGCCTAGTGCCAGGACAGTGCCGAACCCAGCCTGAGAACCGCAGCAGGGGAGAGACCCCGGGAAGAGCTCGCTGGGGCTCCACAGCTTCTCGCTCTCACCAACAGATGTTGGTCCAATCAAAGATGTTATCTCAGCCCCTTGTCTCTGTGACATCCTGGGACATCCCCCTCGCACCTTCGGGCAGAACTGCGGGGCATACAGCGGGGAGGAGAGTGACACAGCCCGGTCCGGGTCTGCCCCGCTCTCCTGAGCTGCAGCCATTTCTGGAGGAGAGAGAGGCTTGTATAGGGGACGTATGAGCCCGTGTTTGGTGTGTACAGGCTGGATCGATAGAGAGATAGATAGATTAGAATATGTGTATTGGGTAGAGAGAGGGATGTATGAGATGGGTAGATAAGTAGCAGAAAGATGCACACACTCACCCAGATGGGGGGAGAACGGAAGAGAGGGAGAACCACCCCCACAGAATTTCACACCCGCGCATGACCACAGCCACTCCGAGAGAGTCACTGTTCCCCACACACCCTCCTCCCCCGACCCACACACACAGGGCGGCCGCTGCTGTCCTTTCCCATGCATTTGTCTCCCC